GGCTTTAAAGCTAAAAAACTTCAGGATAATCATGAGGGGGCATCTGAAAAGAAAGCAAAGATTTGCAAAAGGTTTCAACCGGCTTCCAAATACTGCCGTAAGATATGGCATCAAAAGGGGTTTGCCAACAAATTATATGTTCTGATTAGACGATATCATCATTGATATTAAAAGATAAACAAAGCAAGAACTATCACAGCGTCAGTTCCTTTAGAAGCAGGTGTCATTAATTTTGATTCTTAAATATGGCTTGCTCTTCTACTAAAAAAAGAATGAAACCCTTAAGGAAAGGTTCTCGGATTTCTTCAAGACGCCGAATCGCTTTAGAAAGTTTTTTTTTTGCAAATTCTCTTTTTAACTGCAGTCAGACGGAAAAGCCCTTCCGAAGCACACTTTCTTCCCGCTAATTCCATGGCAAAGTGCCAAACTTTTCCAATTCCGTCCGTGGCAAGATGAGTATTCAGTAACGGTTATTTTTTGATACGGGATAGTGAGTTTTCCAATGTTATTGACCGGTGGAGGCGGTTGTAACTGCTATATTTTGAGTACTGCTGCTTATCTGCGGAATTTACAATTGTTTCTCTGTTTTTCAACGAAGATTGCATTGTAATTTGCTTGCCTTTTGGAAATTTCATTTTATAAATCCACCATTAGATATTTGCTTATGATATGCATACCACTTAATTATTTAAGTTGCTTACGAATCTGTCAGCTAATCAGTTTATTCTTTTCTTTCACTTTGTATACATATTTCCTTTACCAGTCTTAAGTTGAATTCGACCAAGAATACTCTAAACTTCTGTACACTGCCGATTGACACAAACCTTCTGTCTATGGAATACTCCTTAATAGCTTTTAGTGTAGTGATTACTTGGCCGACTTAGACAACGAACGAGCAAGCCTTTTGTAAGAGGAATTATCTATTCAAGTTAAATTTGTGACCGTGAATATGCCTTAAAATGAGCTGAGTCACAGGTTTTGTAGATCTGTATGGAGAAGATTTTTTGGGAGGTCGGACACGAGGTCTTTTTAAAGTTTTTTACTGAAACTATAGGTTTTCAAATTCTTTGACTTCAATTAACTGAAATAATATCTGACCATTTTTTCCCCCACCATCCATCTGTAACCACTTGTCTGAGCCAG